TTCATCATAGCCTTATTCAGCATCAATGATAATTGCCCACTCCTGAGGTCATCCTTGATTCTCCTTTTTCTCCCACACTTCATATCTAACACATCATCAAATACTGTCAATTAAGCCTTTCTACAACCTTCACCACTACCCCCTTGTCCAAGCTTCCAATTATCATGTACTATCTGGAATACCACAACAGCCCCAACTGTCTCCCTACCTCCTTTGCCTATAGCTAATTGTCTACATAGAAGCAACAATGATATTTCTAAAAACTCAAATATGTATATATCAATCCATTGTCTGAAACCCTCCAATGGTTTCCTCAAACACACGGAGTACATTTCAAAATCTTTATGGAGGCTTATAAGGTCTTGCATACTTTGGCCCTGGCTATTCTATCTCCTCGACCTTATCTCTTGTCAATCTTCCCTTCATTCTCAATGGTCCAGTCACACTGGATTCCTTGGCATTCCTCCAATATGTCAAGCACGTTCTTGCCCCAAAGCATTTGTACTTACTGTTTTTTATCTGCCTGGAATGTTCTTTCTCCATATCGCCTGCACATACCCTTTCTCTCTCTCTGCTGTCTCTTAGCTAAACTTTTGACTTTAGCTAATGTCCTTTTGCAATATTTTTTCCTTCTCTTCATTGCCTTTTTACTATTCAATCCATTCTCTACCTATTGCCACTGACTAGTTACCTGTCTAAAGCACAAATCTGATCAGCTCCTCTTCTACTATAAAGTCTTTCAGTAGTTATTACTGTCTATAAAAAGAATTATACTTTTATGACCTTAACAATCTGATCCTAACTCTTCTTTTGGTCTGTTCATCCTCCATTTCTCAATCTTTACTTTATAATTCAGCCACATGAACCCAATAATTTTTCTCTTTACTTGCCACACACTCTTACCTCTTTTCCTTGACTCATATATTACATCCTACCTGCCATGCTTTCACTTTTGTCCTGGGGAAGTTCTATGCCAGGAATTCATAGTAAGAAGTGAGTACGAATAGTGTTTATAATAGAAGAAAGACTTAAATCAGGTGTTGAAGAAGGAATAGTAGATAAATAAGAGGGAAGAAGGAAGGCCTTCTTAATAGAGTGACACTTGACAAGGCAAAGAAGTCAGAGTATAGTTCCTGAAGGCATCATTCCTTCAGATTTGCTGAGACTATTAGAGAACGCACAATAGAGACATGTGAAAATAAGAATAGCGAAATGGCGTGGATGAAACCCAATTACAGAAGTCAGGCAGAGCCATGGGAAAGGGGCTTGAACTGACCAAGGTTTCACAGAATATTATAAGAATTAAATAAAATGGTATATATAAAATTGCTAGCACATATTGGTCACATAAGGATCCTTCAATTTGTAAGTGTTGTAGTTAGCAATAAAGATTTATTGCAAGTTTATGATAAAGGTAACAATGAGAGCAAAGTTCTCCAACTGGAGTGGGTGAGAAATCTCCGTCCCAAGGCAAACACCTCTGAACCAAATCCATTTTTATGGATTTAATAAAATGACTTAAATCTTTTTCAAATATAACCGGTTTTATGTTTAATTAAACTAATAGACATTAAAGGATAGTCTTATGGGTTTTCTTCTTTCTGGGATGGTTTTAGGTTTGCAAACATATCATATAAAACATGATCTTGAACATGATTTATAATTTGCTTGAAATGTACTCATGAACCAATGAGTGAATTTAACTATGCCAGGTACTCTTTCACTGCAAACCAAATAGATCAGTCTAATCTTATACCTTGTGACAGAAGAGTAAAGATGTGTATTTAACTCCAAACTACTGCATTATAAATGTCTTCAAGATTTAAATATAAGAAGTGGCAATATTCTTTCATCAGTAAAACTTAACTGTAGAGAGCTCAAGTCATGACAAATGGTATGTCTTAATGGATTGAAGGACATTTTCTGTGAACCATGTTGTATATAAGAAATATAATACGAGTGCTGGCAATGTGTCTGGTATGTCTACATTAAATTAGGGTCCCACTACAGCCTTCAGACTTTAGAGACTTGTAAATCTCCAGTATGTGACTTTCATTTTTTTGAAGAAGCTGACTTTATAGTTCTCTTGAGTACTATGATTTTTGTATTACAAAGAGTGACCCACCAAGTAAAATTAGAATGTTTTGAAATGTTTAGTGGGTGATTGGTTCTTGAGAGCTGCAAAAATAAAACTTGCCCTGCCTAAGAGAACATTGGAAATTTGAAATTTCATTTATGATTTTGTCGGCTAGAAAGTCAAAGATGATAAATGCACAGTGATAGCTCAAGTCCTTAATTGTTTGTTTAGAGACAATAGAAATCTAAAGAAACAAGACAGGTTGATATTATTTGGAGCTTCTTTTTGTTGAACTTTCTGAAGTATATAGGCTCTCAATTCCTCCTAACCTGTTTTCTATTCATTGGACGGTTGGTCATCCACATAATAGTATCCTTCTCTCGCTGACTCAAACTTTATAGAAACTATCTGTGCCAGGATTGGCTACATAGTTTTCAGGGCCTGGTATGATGCAAAAATACAGGTCCCCTCGTTTCTAAGAAAGAAATTTTAAAAGGGAGACAGCAGAGCGTTAAACCAAGTCTGGATCCCTTCTGGCACAGGGTCCTGCGACACTAAACAGGTTGCATGTCCAGGAAGCCAGGTCTATCTAGTCTATAGTTAAACAGCAGTAAGAGGACCCAGCCTCACCATTTCACACACCAGTTACCTAAGTATATTCAGTAGTTTACACACCAGTTACCCAAGTATATTCAGTAGTTTGATTAAATTATACAGCAGTACTTAACAAACATTGCCTCCTGAACTCCTTAAACTCCATTCCAATTTCTTCCAGCAAATAAGCACTGATATTTTTCTAATTATAAAAATTAATTAAATCATTCATATTTTGCTCTTTATTATTTCTGTGCAAGAGAAGACTGCCATAAATGTTGTGTATTTATGAAGTGCTTTTCTAGATGCTGATGATACAGCAGTGAACAAAGTAATTCCTTTGCTCTTATAGAGCATATATTCTAATGGGGTTAGTTCAAACTTCAGCAAAGACCTACGTAATTATTATTTTTAAAAGAATCTATAACTAGAAGAGCCTTTTGAAAAAAAAAATAATTGTGCTTTCAGCTTCTATGAGCTTAATTAGTGTTGGGCAAAAACAAAAACAATTTTTTGTTTGTTCTGTCCTTTTTTGGAGGATGAACTGTGATGATCTAAGGCAATTCGACTCAGTAAAAATCCTTTAATTAATTTGTATCATTCAGTGAGTTTATTTAAAAAAAGCAGGACATTTTTCATAAGAAAATGTATGAGGACTAGGAAATTTTATTATAATTTTCCTTTAAACATGTTAATAACTATTTTGTATTATTTATTTTATTTTATTGATTTCAATTACAGTTGACATTTACTATTACATTAGTTTCAGGTGTACAGCACAGTAATTTGACATTTATATAACTTACAAAGTGATGTCCCTAATAAGTCTAGCACCCACGTGGCCTCATACATAGTTATTACAATATTATTAACTATATTCCTTATGTTGTACTTGACATCCCCATGGCTATTTTTTAATTACCAATTTGTACTTCTTAATCCCGTCACCTTGGCACCCAGCCCTCCAAACTCCCTTCTGGTAATCATCAGGTTTCTCTCTGTATCTATAGGTCTTTTTCTGTTTTGTTTGTTTATATATTTATTTATTTTTAGATTCCACATGTAAGCAAAATTATATGGTATTTTTCTTTCTCTGTCTGACTTATTTCATCAAAAAAAAAAAATACCAAGGCATAAATTCAACCAAGGAGATAAAAGATCTGTATTTGGAAAATTATAAGACTGAAGAAAAATTGAAGAAGATATAAATATACAGAAGCATATACTGTGCTCATGGATAAGAAGAATTAACATTATTAAAATGTCCATACTATCCAAAGCAATCAATAACTTTTTTTTATTATCATTCTTTGGTTGTTTTCTTCCTGTGATTTATGTCCAATTGTTAGGTAAGTTTTCCTGTTTTTAATAATGTCCTTCTTTTGTAGTGACCATATACAAAGAAACAAGAATTAGAAACAACCCCAATTTCTACAGCATTTTACTGCAAAATTGACTTTATGCATATGGTCATCTTGTTTCCGCAGGAATTTATTTTTAATAAAGGATCTATTTAACTCTCATTTAAGGAACTACAAATAGTCCCCCAAAAGACTGCTGACCACAGTCTGAAAATATGAAATGTTCTTTGGAGGGTTTTGGGTGTGGAGTGAGACACATTTTCATAATATTCAGTATGTCATCATCAAGTAATGTTTACAAACCCCAACACCCTGGGGATGTGTGCAAGGTTTAGCAAGCAGATGTTAGCAGTCAAGGAAAAATTATGACTGCTGCCTGAAAATATTCCCTCTTGCCTATCAGTTACATACAAGATTGTCAAGATTTCTTCTTTTTGGTGTGTATAATTTGCCTAGTTTAGAGAACGGCTAATCTAAAAACAGATTTGGAAATTGCTAAAAGAAATCCTCCATAAATGGCCATCTAAGAACCTCTTGTCCATTTTTTATGACAGATTTTTCTATTGGAAAATAAAAAACCTAGTTGTGGGTACTCTACCTTATATTTCGTTTAACATAGTACTTTTTAAAACTCCAGACTTTCCATCCTGCTTCTCCACTTCTGAATATTGTTATTAAAAATGCTAATTGTATCACATAGCAACTTCAAACACATATTAACTTCACATTTTTAGAACTCACATCCTTTTAGTGCAAGGAGATAAAATAAGGTCTTTGCCTTGATGTATTAATATTTAGTGATCAAATCTTCCCTTTTCTAGCTAAAGTATAAGGGGTTTTGAAGCAAGTTGAGGCGGTCTTTCCAGAAGAGCAAGTTAGAACTATTGGCTTTAAAATGACAAACAAAATTTAACTATAACATGATATTGCTTGTGGACAGTCTTAATAGACAATCGGATCCAATAAAATAAGCGGCAACCAATGGGTACTTTTACTTTTGAAAGAGTTTTGTCGTGAAGAGTAATTTTGATTGAATCTTTTTTGGGTGGGGGAGGAGTTCCTTCTTCATATATGAGAAAAATCTCAGGAATAGCAGAATTTAGTAATAGACATAAGGTTCTGAGTGAAGATCACTTGATGTTAAAAAATTGCCATGGCTTTCAATATTGAGTTTTACATTGATGAGCACTTATTTAGCATGTGAATGGTAATGGTCTTTCTCTCTCTCTCTCTCTCTTTTTTTATACATCCTACCTTTAAAAAAAAAAATTGTGAATCTTTAGCACCTGTAACGGAAAAAGAAGTTAGGGAAGAGAAAAATCAAATTTGAAAAGTAATCAGATATACCAATGGAATAGGACAGTAAAGCTAGAAATATACTCAATTGCATCTGGAAACTTAGTATATTATAATATTTAGAATATGAGACTAAATGATGAAATTGGCATTTTAAATAAATGCAAGAAAGCAGAACTTTTTGATAGGTGACTAGAGAGCCAAATCTAAAAGATAAATTTGCATTCATTCCTCACATCATACATGAAGAAAAATTCCAAATAAATTAGTAATCTACAGGTAAAAAATAAAATCATACATATCTTTGGAGAATATTAGAATGAATCCCTTTATAAATTTTTATACTATAATTTAAAAACATATAAACAATAAGAAGTTAATGGCAATTTGACTGCATTTTAAAAATCTTTGTCTAAAAATAATACATGCAAAGTAAGAAGACAAATTGCAAATATTATATTTGCACCTTATATCACAGACAAAGGTTTAATACCCCTAACAAATTAAGAGCACCTGAGGAAAAAAAGGCCAACCACTTGATTGAAAAATGAGTAAGAGATATGAGCAGACCTTTCACCAATAAAAAAAATGCAATGACCCATAAACATATAAAGGATGCTAAATCAGACTCTCAGTAGGAGAAATACAGGTTGAGAAAAAAAGTATTTCTCACCTATCAGATTGAGAAAAAAAATCAAAACTTTGACAGAATACACTATGGATGCCATTAGGAAAACAGACGCTCTCATAAGCTGGTAGGGAGAATGCAAAATGGCATTCTTATTGACAGAAATTTGATAATAACCAGGAAAAAATACATTTTCTTTATTTTTTGACTCACCATTTTTCTGAAAACTATCCCAAAGATATACTGGCAAAAACATAAAATGAGTAATAGACTATTTATTGCAAGAGAATTCGTAAGAACAAAAGGTTAGAAACAATCCAAACTCATAAAATATTTCTCCTACGAAATTCTGTTTTAATGCAGTAAGAACAACGGATATGAATGAATGAAGAAGAGGTGGATCCAATTGCCCATACATACTAATGACTAGTGGTTAGAAAAAATGTTTTATCTCTCAGGTGCTTAGAGAAAAAAAAATGTTTAAATGTAAATTATTACATTTGGATGGGTGGGGTGAGTTTATGGAATCCAAAACATCTCTGAAACCCAAATTTGTGCAGATCACAAATAAGTTTCTTTGGGACCCAAAATAACTGGATTTCAAAAGTGAAGTGATTCTAATAAGCAAAAGTAAATATTCTAAGAGAAGTAGCCATGTGCTCACGGATGCCCACACTCTGATATCAACTTCATCTTGATACCAAGGAAGAGAGTGGATTTTTCAGCAAAGAAAGCACGTTTACCTATGGCCTGCCATGAGAACTCTGCATCTCTGATTTGGACAAGGCCACAATTATCCAACACTTGCCCACATCCAGAATGGGCCAGGCACACTGCTGGCTGACCATCAGGAGCCTCAGCTGCTTGGTGGGTTGGCAGTCGGGGAGAAGCCATGCCGATTTGTCCATTTAGCAGAACACCCAGGAGGTGGACTCTTTCACTCTGGCTTGTGAATAATAGGAAGTACAATTCAGGCTCTTGAAAGCCATGCAGGGCTGCTTCCCGAGCCATGATCTCTTTCTTTATCTTTATTGATTTATGTCCATCTGCTGAGTGAGGTGAATGAACTGGCTTTGGCCTGGCCACTGGATATTATTAGTTCCCTAAATGCAAAAAGTTTTACTTTCATCATAAAATGAGGAGAGGTTTGAGAAATATAGCTGGATATGTGTGAGTACACAGATCCCAAACATGTGGTCATGACATAAGCATGGGTCCCAGACAGGCAGGTGATGACATGCTCAGAAGTCATTATGTTGAGAACAGATCTGATCTTACTAAACTCTTGTTTCTCTGACTCGGGCCTCTCTTCCCTTTGCTGTGATGGGAAGACCTTAACTGTCTGTGCTCACCTCTACATTTTCCTCTGCCTGGCATGCAAGTGGAAATCCAATTAATAAAAATTAGTTTGATGGGGAGAAAAAACTAGTTTTATGCCTGAGAATGAAAACGACATGTAAATGTAAGGATGCAGGCTTACAGAAAAAAAAAAAAAAAACCAACAACAAAAAAAACATGTTAGTTCTGCTGCAATGCACATTGGAAAATATGATGAGCTCTATTATTCAAAAAAATAATCTCCAAGCCAATTTTTAAAAAGTAAATGAGAAGATTGATTTCTGGTTAATAATATCGGAGATTATTTTCAAATTTCTCATGGTTAAAATAAATATTATTTTTAAAAATCATTTAAGTGTCAGATTGGTACAGCAAGTATCTTGACAACCAGTTCCAAATTTGCTCTTTCCTTAAGAGAACAGATACTGTAATTGCCACATCCTTGGGGGTAGGTAAAGAGATCTCTGTCTGGTCTCTTTCAATTTAGTAGGTTGACCTTATTTTAAAAGTTACCTGAATTGCTTCAATCAGAAATTTCGTCAAGGCCAGCCTCAAAAATAGACACAATTGGTAATTAACAATGTCACATTATCCTAGAATTGTTCAAAAGAATTCCAGTTTGCCCCTGCTTCTTCCTGCACATACTTGATGCCCCAAATCCTATCATCTAAGCTTCATCCTGTTTGCTTAAAATTCTGATCTTTGTCAAAACTTTAATACCAGGTGAAAGACTAACATTTAAAACTGTAATGGTATTTCTAAAATAGACCCACGGGAATTCTCATGTGTATCTTTTTACATTGTTGTAATGTTACTTTTGCAATCATATAATATTTTTATTAGCTATAAAGTCACAACTCTTTTGCACTGGTCATTGGGATCATTTCTTGAGAAGTGAGATTTTTTTCTTTTAAAGATTTGTGCATTTTTGAAGTTTAGAAACACAGAGCTGCATGCCAGTGTTGATGGGTGAGGTCTAATGGCAGGTCTTTTAGGAGGAAGAAGGTCTCAGTGAGAAAAACTGATGCAAGAATGATGAGGATAGCAAAGACAATTTCCCTCCTTTAGCCTTTTGAAGTAGAGCTAGGTTCTCTGCTGCCGACGGTGGGCAGATAGTCCACAGCAAGCTGAGCTAAGAGCAAAACCAAGAATGAATGTAGGACACAGGGTGGGGACTAAAGCTAGGAGTGAAGCCATCAGCAAAAGCCTGGAAGCAGTTCCTTGGCATTGTCTTTCTTTTAAAAAAAAAAAAAAAATTATTCATGCTGATTCTCTTTTAGCAAGCTGTTTATCTTGGGACTTCTGCACAGCAAACTGAATGGAACGTGGGGCCAGGAAGATGGAAAAGCTGAATCACCGAAGGTTGTGTCACTGGATCACGATCAAACAAAAAAGTACAGTAATGTCCGAGTTGAGAGGCCACAGAGTTGTCAGGCTTCTTGCTCACACCTTTGGCGCTCAGATGATTCATTGTCCTCAGTTCTATCTCAGACATGCACTCCATGACCCAGGACTTCTGATCAGATCTAAAAGGAAAGGTTTCACACTTTTAAATGGTCTTACTCTTCTCCCTCCTTCTTACTTCCTTGGGGATTTAGAATCTTACTGTTTTCATGTCATTTTTTTCTTTTTAAGCATGGAATTATTACGTAAGTTACCTTTGTCTTCAAATTTTAATTGAGATTATAAGTGAACCTGGGTGTCTTATGACTCTCCCTTTTTTCCCTCTAACATACAGAAAAAAATGGCCTTCAGGAAAGACCTATTACCCAATGACTCTTCACTTCTGCCTACAGTGGCTCTTAACTTCTGTACCATTGACACCTGAGGATATCTAATAGAGCCTACGGACTCCTCCAGATGATGTTTTAAAATGCTTTAAATAAAACACATAGAATTACATAAAATCACAAAGGAAGCCAATTACATTGAATTACAGTTTTCAGAATATTAAAACACCAAGTTATTAATGTAGCAATATATGTGGTTTTTTTAGTGGCAGATTTCATGACATTGTAATTTCAAAATGGTGATGAGATTAAGTGGTCAGTGAAGGTGTCTACAACTATCGAATGCGATGTAAAAATATCTGTGATTTCTATTTCTGATGAATCGTAGTTGAAGTCACTGTGGTTTGTTGCTTACATTATAATTGAAGGAAATCATAAATTTCACTTTGAGGTTAGTGAAAATAAAGATGTCTCTTTTTTTCTTTTAAATCCAAGTTCACAGACTCTGAATTCAATTCAAAGACTCCAGATCAAGAAGCCCTGACGGACGATTTGATGCAATATCGGACCTGATCAATTTCTTTGTAGGCTACTTATGAGGACAGATTTTGTATGGAAGATTCAACTGAACTTCTCAAATTCTCTCCCCACCCCATTTTTTTCCCATATTTTAATTTTTTTATATGCAAAAGTATACCTAAGCAAACTTTGCTATTATGCCAGAGATTGGCAAGATTAATTTCAGTCATGACTTTATTTCCTTCTATTCTCTGGATGTGTTAAACATCGGAGAGGCTGGGATTGGTACTGCTGCCTCAGCCAAAGGAACTGAACAGCCTCTGTCTTGGGGCTTGGTTTTCTCCTTCCTCTGGCAACTCTTTAAGCAAGGAGAGTATATACCACGCCATTCCCACACGTTTATATAGTTTTTCTTCAAAGGATTTCTTGAAACAGATGTTGCCTTTCCACGAGAGAAGCCTCTGGATGCTCTTCCACAGAGAGTAGATCGTGTTGTTTCTGACTGCATTTTGGGGAACAAAATCCAATTCCACCGATGATGGTTTTTCCGTTGGAATTCTTGGCCATAGGCATAAAGCATATGCCCACCTAATTTCATTTTCAGTCTTCCCAAGAATCTATTTTGAGTATATTTACTTTACATTTCTATTCTTAACCATTCTTATAAATTCAAACATTGTTTCACTTATTTACTCATGGTTAGTAAGAAAAGTTCTCTTAATAGCTAGATATTGGCTAGATGCCTGCCACTGTGCAAGCCAGAGGCAAAGGAAGGAAAAAACACCCTGAAGAAGACAGGCAAATGAATTCTTGAATGTTATAACTATACAAAGTTTATCCTAAGGAATCCAGGAATTTAAAACATTTAACAAATGCAATGGATACTGTAATTATACATCAAAAAGAAAAAAAAAACAAACAAACATTTCACCAAAATATATACCTTGCATATAAAGTGGATATTGTTATTGTTAATTAAAAGTACTGCTACATTTTCTTTTAACCTTGACTCAAAGTCAGTGTTGTTCTTCATTGTGGATGTGGGTGTTGCTTCATGTAGTGTATATTACTTCATGCCATGTCTTCGTGCCATGACTTGCAGGCTGTTGACATTCAGAGATGATATGTCCTCTTGTTCTACACTATTTTAGTTGGACAACATGGAGAGACTTGCCAAGGGTGTGCTGGTAAATGTTTAACAACTGATTCTCCAGGGAAAATAAAGGCCAGCTTTGTAGCATTTGCCAATTTCTGTGGTGTAAATCCTCCCACCATAGATGATTTCAGGCTACCAAAATGACTTCACTAAACCCAGAGTTGGGAAAAGATGAGTACAAGTGGCTCTTATAACCCAAGGCAAACCAGCTTTAGCTGCTCACCCTAGAGTCATTTATTCCTTAGGGCTGAGAGCTGTAATTGTCCATATCTGGAGTTGTTTTCTTCTTCTGTTTACATTCAGTTCATACAGCAATATTACAGATAACAGCGAAAGAGTAAGATAGATGATGGTAGATAGATGATAAACAGACAGACAGATAGAAAGATGATAGATGGATAGAGTATCCAGATGAAAGCTCTCTCCCTCTGACACCCTCTCTCTCTCTCGAAGCTGATTTCTGGGACTGCAGTTTTGGTAACGGCATTATATAGCCTTATTTTAAGCAAATCTATGTTCTTTTTTAATGTTCATTGCTACTGATGTCACCTACTAAATGACTCCAAAAGCTAAATGTGACATCTGTTAGACATTGAAGTCTTACACCTACATAGATCCAAGTCTCACACCAACGTTCTGCAGGCCACATATGTTCCAGTTAATTAAGGAAGCCATAAAAAAATTTCTTCCAATGAAGCGAGATCTGTGGCTCTTTATCAGACTTTATGAAAGTATTACCTAGAATGAGATATTCTTGAAGCAGAAACATTTCATCTTTAAAATACTTTTCACACACTACAATCCTATAGTTGAAATCAGGGTACATTATGTCTACAAAACTCCCCCAATCTATTCAATCTACATAAAGGAAAATGGTGTTGATGTAACATGGATCTACATTGGCTCTTAATGCTTACCGCATCCTTTTCTAAATGTTTATAAACTCTCTATTCTCATCATATAAAAAATATGATGACCAATGGCTTCTAAAATCCAACTCTTTTTTCCCTTCTTTGAAAACTAGAACTGCCAGGGGCTAAATGATTAAGTTGCCCAATTATCCTCTTTTTCCTCATTGACAAAACATGAGCCTGGACTCTAAGATCTAAGTGTACATTGTATATTGAGATACAATTCACATACCATATAATTCACCAATTGAAAGTGTACAATTCAATGGTTTTTAATATATTCACAGAGTTGTGTGATCATCAGCACCTTCAATTTCAGAATATTTTTATCATCCCTAAAAGAAACCTTGTACTCATTAGTAGTAACTTCTTATTCTTCCCTTCCCATGGGCTCAGAGAATCACTAATCTATTTGTCTCTATAGATTTGGCTATTGAGGACATTTCCTATAAATGAAGTTATACAATTTGTGGTCTTTTGTAATTGGTTTCTTTCATTTAGCATTACAGTTTCAAAGTTTATCCATATAGTACCATGTATCAGTACTTCATCTCTTTTTGCAACATTATTTGCAAAAAAATTTCCCTGAAAAAGATTGTCTTTTCTCTTACTTGTTGGTGTCCTTTGAGCAGAACAAACGTTTTAATTTTGATAAAGTCCAATTTTTAAGAAATATTTTCTTTTGTTGCTTGTGCTTTCAGGGCCATTTCTAACAATCTATTACCTAATTCAAGGCCACAAAGACTTACGCCTATGTTTTCTTCTGAATTTTACAGGTTTAGTGTTTACATTTAGGTCTCTAGTCTGTCCTGTATTAATATTTTTTTAATATAGTGTGCATACGGTTTATTCTTTTAGATGTGGATATCCAGTTATCCCAGCAATATTTGTTGAAAAGAGCATTCTTTCCCCCATCAAAGTGTCTTGGCACTCTTGTTGGAAATCAGTCGACCATCGAGTCAAATCTTGATTTAAGTATGTGGAAGACAAGAAACTCTAGGTCATCACTCAACTAGTAGCAATTCAACTTTCTTTCCAGTTCTCCAGGTATCATTCTGGGTGACTAGAATCTGCATGGCACCAAGCGTGGAGCTACAGAGCCATGCAT